AGCAGGCTCAAATCAGAGAGGGAATCTACTAGTTCATTGACCTTGGACTTCTCAACCTCCAAAATTGCAAAATTGGTTTCTATTGTTTATAACTCACCTAATCTATTAATATTCTGTTAAAAAAAAAAAAAAAAGAAGCCCAAACAGACTAAACAAAGTTTAAAGATCAATTTGTCAATATCAGACAATTCTGGACAAATTTCAAGAATATTCAATTATATTTGTAGACTATTAAACTCAATATTTCTTAGAGACCCAGAAGAGTATTCAAAGGGGTATTTCCAGGTTCTCTGATCAGAACAGCATAAAGTTGTGTTTAAAAAAAAAAACACAAAAACATAAGTGACCCTATTTCTCTGGTTAATTTCATTCTCAGGCCAGTTTTGGCTAAACCTTTGGTCAGTGTGGATATGGCCTAGAGCAGTGGTCGGCAAACCACAGCTCACAAGCCACATGCAGCTCTATGGCCCCTTTAGTTTTTAGCAAAGGCCAGCTTAGGAGTACCCTAATTAAGTTAATAATAATGTACCTATATAGTTTAAGATTAAAAAAATTGGCTCTCAAAAGAAATTTAAATCGTTGTACTGTTGATATTTGGCTTTGTTGACTAATGAGTTTGCTGACCATAGAGCAGTTTCTCAAGACACAGTCACAGGGATGCTTTAAATGATGGATTTTAATTTTTCAAATGCTTACATAACCTCTGACCAATTCTTTCCAAAGGTTGAGTGTTCCACCTCTTGAGACAGTTCATGGCAAGCTTTAAATGACTATTACAAAGTCCTCGAGGCAAAACTGAACATCATCTCTTATTTTGCTTGTTGGAGCCTTTGTATACTGATAATAATATATTTAAATCTAAGAAACTTGGGTTTTCCAGTGACAGTTTTATATAAACAAACATCTAAACAATAGACATAACTTCAATTAATGATAAATATAACTCCACAAATTGATTTTTATAATCTCAAATTTGGAAATTAAAAAATAAGAAGAATGTAGAGTTAAAAGATTCTCCTAGCGCCAAAACCGGTTTGGCTCAGTGGATAGAGCGTCAGCCTGCTGACAGAAAGGTCCCAGGTTTGATTCTGGTCAACTTTGGTTGCAGACACATCCCCAGTGTGGGGTGTGCAGGAGGCAGCTGATTGATGTTTTTCTCTCATTGATGTTTCTAACTTTCTATCTCTCTCCCTTCCTCTCTGTAAAAAATCAATTAAAAAATATATTATTCTCCTAGGGATTATGTACTTGAGTCAACTTGTAAGGTAAAACTTAATATCAATTTTACACCCCTCGGAGGATGTCCAACACCCCTCGCATAATCTGGGACTGCTGGCTCCTAACCACTCACTTGCCTGCCTACCTGATTACCCCTAACCCCTCTGCCAGACTGCCTGATAGCCCCTAACCTCTCTGCCTGCCTGCCTGATCGCCCCTAACTGTCCTCTCCTCCTGCTTCATAGCCCCTAACTGCCTCTGCCTGCCTGGTCACCCCTAACTGCCCTCCCCTGCTGGCCTGATCTCACCCCAACTGCCCTCTCCTGCTGGCCTGATCTCACCCCCAACTGCCCTCCCCTGCCAGCCTGATTTCACCCCTCTGCTCTCCCCTGCCAGCCTGATCACCCCTAACTGCCTCTGCCTGCCTGATCACCCCTAACTGTCCTCCCCTACTGGCCTGATCTTGCCCCCAACTGCCCTCCTCTGCCAGCCAATTTGGTTCTGATTGGTCAGTTTCTATTCCAGTCAGCATCAAAATCTCCACCTCCTGGGCAGTCATTGGCTCCTCACAGTTGACCCAGATTTGGTTGATCATCAGTTTCTATGCCAGTCAGCATCTTGGCCTATCAATGGAAAAGGCAGAGCTAATCAGTGGAAGCCTGGAGAGAAATGGAGGCATGGATATTGGCCAGGCTGGGAAAGAGAGGCAAGTTCTGATCAAGGACTGTCACACAGGCTTTGGATCAGACCCTGTCTCTCTCTCTGCAGGTCTCTCTCTGGGCCTGATCTTGCAGCCCCCTAGGCAGTCAGTGCTGGGTTGGGATATGTCAGTGACTTCTGGTCTGGTTGAGCCTTCGATGGTAACAGTTATGACCTTGGCTCTTTATTATATAGTAGAGGCCCAGTGCACAGGTAGGGGATGGCTGGCCTGACCTGATGAAGGCTCCAGATTGGGCTGGGGGTTCCTCTGGGGGGTATGGCCGGCCAAAGGGAGGGGCCTCAGTCATTCTGGTCTCTAGTCATCTGGTCATTCCACCGTTTTGGTTGCTGGGCTTTCATTACATAGGATTAGGGATACATGATCAATAACTTCAAGGGATAGGAAGAGACCAAATAAACTGAAACGTCAAAAATCATTGTATGAACCATAAAACATAAAAAAGGACTAGAGATATTTAGAAGATTCAGAGAAAAAAAATCTAGTATGAACCTTTTATTTTGACAAAACAAACTATAAATTTTACATTCTAAGCTCCCAAAGTTTCACTTATTAATATTTAAAAAATAAAAGACAAGGCATCCTGGACACCCAGATTTCAGGTATGAATAAAATAGTACCAGATTTTCAAGTTATATAAGCTGGTTGCATTTTATATACCATAAATGTGAAGAGAACTATGACATACATTCATTAGTTTCAAATGTACCTATAAAAGAACACACAGACATTCTTGAGTTTCCTAACTACACAGTTTCATATCAACAAATATCTAAGTAACTGACATAATTTCCATTAATGGTAAATACAACTTCACAGATATCAAATTACACAAATAATTTGCTCTGTATTATCTTAAATTGGAAATTGAAAAATAAAAGGAATTAGAGTTAAGTAGCTGAAAATGCTACATGAGCACACTGTGACAAGGAATGTACAAGTTTTCCCTCATGGAATGATTTTTAAAAATTTAAAGTCAATTTTATCAGAAAAGTTAAAATCTCTGTGAAAAGGAAGTTATATGAATTATCAGCTCAATCTCTAAAGATCTAGCAAATTACAGATTTTTGTGCAATTAATTAGTAACATACACATTTAAGAGCTTAATACTGATTGTTTAATAGAATATTGAGGTGGTTTTGAAGTGTCTATCTTTTATAGTTTACTTTAGCTTTACATGTCAATGAAAGATAAGATTCTTCAGTGGGAAGTTATAGCTTATTCTTCACTAGATATAGGTAATGCGTATAAGATTCAGAGCAAATAGTGGCTTTCACCTTCAAGGAATCTACTTTTAATTTATACAAAATTAGATTTTCACCCATATGTATGGAAAAAGTGCTTCTCAAATGTATATGGCCCCATTTCCATAATCCTAAAAAAAATAAAGGCACATAAATGGATAATAGTTTATATTTTTTATGTGAATATTCTTCATTAATCTTTAAACAAATTCACTCTAAAGATGTGTGATAAACTTACAAATTTCTATGACTTGGGGAAATTAAAGATCTAAGATCTCTCTAAAGACTGCAGTGGTATACAATTCATATATTGGTTCATTCACTCTGCAAGCCAACTCACCTCTTAATCTCTATAAGCTGCAGGTACTTGTCTCATCAATAATGAGATAAAAAAAACTAAAGAAGGACTTGTGGAATTAGTCTCCCAGGAAAGTTGTTTTAAATCTTGCTACAAATAGATTTAATTTGCCTGTGAGTTAAATTTTATAATTATAAAATATTCACACTAATGTATTTGAATGGAATGTAATTAAGAATCATGTGTAAGTTTTTAATTTTAATGACTGGTATTTTTCACTTACATGAAAAGAAATTCAATAGCCAGCAGTATTTAAATATAGAAATAGTACAATCTCTTCTCTTTTCCCTTTTATAAAAGTGCCATTCTTAACTGGGTAAAGTTACCATCCAGCTTCTCATTAACTTCACTGTATGTCTATTTAGATTCAAGGAAAAATTGAAAGGATTTAGTATTTTAAATATTTGCACAATATTGCTACAAAGCATAAACTATGAGCATGTTTTATTAGTAAAACAAAAAGTGTACCTTAGATTGATTTAATAATTACTTGAGAGAAGCATAGGTTCACGTACTTATGCCAAAGTTTGCTAATCATCTAAACCGGAAACAGTTCTGTAGGCAATTCAAATATAAGCACCATCAACTAGGATCATGTCAAATAGAAAGAATGGTTATATAACCCCAGAATAAAAACTTCAGCAAATTTAGACTTTTAGAATAGCAAAACAAGTCAGTGAGAATGGGAACCACAGGCAATATTTTACTTAAAAGTACCGTAGGTTGTTGAAGGTATTTTCTTTAAATAAAAATTTGGATAGTTATTAGTAATGCACCTTAATATTAAGTGCAGTATGATAGTTAAGAGAAAAGCATACTGCAGATTAACTAAAAGTGAATGTTGTTTATTTCTTTAGTTCAGTGATGAAAGCTGAAATTGCTTTTCAAAAACAGGTGAATACTTACAATAAGTAGGATACCAAAAGGATTCCCATTTTTATTCATTTTCTAATTAGAATCTTTGCATTTCAACTCTTACCTGGACCTTTGTAAAAATCTTAAAAAGCAAATGTAATTAGTTTTTGTTCAAATTTAACAAGAGTTACCAGTTTCATTACAATTTGCATATTTTGTTTTTGGAAGAGTAACCACTTTTAACAATCATGAACGAGCAATATTCCTCACTTAGCATGGCATCCAATAATGCTCAAATCAAAGAAACCCTCAGTTATCAATTCTGTACCTCCAATTTAGATAAATCTATAGTCTTTACAAACAGGGACTCCAGGGCAGAGGAATGGCATGGAGAAAAGAAGCCTAGGGCAAGGTTTGATGAATCATTTGGAAAGCCACCTCACTCAGAATACTAGGCGAAACTCTCCTCCTTCGGCCCTCCCCCACTCCAACCCCCCAAAGCAAGAATGCCTGATTTAGCCTAAGTCTTTTCTGGTCTCGTTTACTCGCCTGCCTCTAGTATTGTAGTTCAGACAAATAACCCTTAGAATTTTCTAAAAAATTATTTTTACCCAAATACATTGGACTTCGGCCTCAATTTGAATGAGGGTAAGTGGCCTTTAAGAGATCGATCCTCTTCTTCTTGCTCCCCCTCTTCTAGGGGCTGCTCCGGATCTCTGAAAAAGGGTGTGGTGTGGATGATCTGGGTTCTGAAGTGGATTTTGTTGAGTCTGGGTTTTATTCGCCCACTAGAGCTGCCAGAGGCTTTGCGACCTGGGTCCTTTGCTTTGCCTCCTGCCGATCCCTCAGCCAGGTGGTGGTGGTGGTGGTGGTGGTGATGATCCCCTCCATCCTCCAGGACATGCGAGAGTTTGTAGGTGATGAGGTGGGAAGGAAGCACTTTTGAAAGCCTCCAGCGCCCACTCCCGCTGCCTGTGGCACTTTCACCATCGTCCTCGTCCAGGGCTCCCACCAGGTTCTTGATCTCCTCGGCGATGCTCTGACTCAGATACTGCGAGGCCTTCTTCCCACTGTAGTCCCTCACGTCCACGTCTGCGTCGTAGGCCCCCACCAGCAACTTCACCACCTCCACGTGCCCATGCATGGCTGCCAAGTGCAGGGCGGTGTAGCCTCCACTCGTCTTGGCGTTGATGTTCACCGGCAGGTGGTTTTTGTTGGCGAAATTGACTAACATGGCCAGGAGCTCCTGTCGGCCGTGCTTGGCTGCCCAGTGCAGGCAAGTGAAGCCGGTGATGAAGTCCCGCTTGGTCAGCAGGCCAGGCTCACAGGTGAGCAGCGCTTCTAGGCTGTCCCACTTGCCGTCCGAGGCGGAGAGCATCCAGGCGTGTTCTAACGGGTCCAGCGTCACCGAGGCCCCGCTGCTCATCTCCTCCTCGGCCGACGACGAAGCAACGGAAGCGCTGTCCGAGTCGCCCCCGCCTTTGCCGCGTCCTCCCCCAGAGCAGCTCCTCTTCAGCTGCGGGGAGTTACCCATCACAAGGTCCCGGAGGTTCTGGCGAGTAGACCTAGGGGTGGTGGTTCCCCCGGGAGAGCTCCCTCCGTCCGCCTCCTCGCAGACCTGGGGCTGGGGTTCCAGGTCATCGCCGGGCTCGGGGGTTGGTGCTCGGGCCGGAGGCTGCGCGCCGCGCCGCGAGTTCTTTCTCCGGGCCCCGCCGTGCAGGGGCGGTCCAAGCGCGGCGGAGGAAGACTCTTCATCGCCGGCTTCACTGCGCGGACCCGGGGACGCCGACTCGGGGCACAAGCCGCTCTCCCGGCTCTCGGCCGGGTTGTCCGACTCCTCGGGGTCACCGCCTCCGTGGGGCTCGGGCTCTGCAGTCACCGAAATGCGGGGCAGGTCCCCAGGGGGCGCGGCCTTGGGTGACTGTGGGCCTTCGCAGAACCTCCTTTTGAGGTGTACATACTTGGAGCCGTCGGCGGGGTCGGTGCGCACAGTGGCCACGGCATTGACCAGCTCCTTGAAGTGGGCGCGCCGCTCGGGCTCGCCGCCCAGGGCACCCCTGAAGTGCTGCACCAGCTCGGCGTGCCGGGCCCGGCCCCCGCGCTCCGCAAGGAAGCGCAGCACCGCCTCGGCGCCGAGCTCCGCCGGGCCCTCCATCCGGGACCGCGCTGCTCGCTTGGCTGCGGGCGGCGGCGGGAGACTCAGCCCGGCCCCATCGCGGTGCGCTCCCAGGTGCGGGCTCCGCGAAGCCCCAGCCGCCGCTCTGCGGCGGGAGACGCCCCACTAGCTCACAGGGCCGCGCCCCGCGCGAACACGCCTCCGCCGGCGCCGCCCTGTCCCGCCCACTTCCGGTCCCCGCGCGGCCACAATCTCGGCTCCCGCCGACCGCCCGCGGACACGGCCCGGGCCCGCCCACTTCCGGCCCTCGCGAGGGAGTGCCTCGGGCCGCCGCCGGCAGAGCAGTCCTGGCCGCATCCCCTCTCCCTTCCGGCCAGGGTCCTGCAGCCACTGGCCCCGCGCTGACTCGTCCCGCCACACGTCGAGGGACTCCCCTGTGAGAGGCTCGCTCGCGCTCGCGTCACTGAGGCCGCCGGCTTGGCCCCGCCCCTCGCTGTGGCGCCGCCTCCGGCCCGCGCCCCGCGTCCCGAGCCCTTCCCGGCCCCCCGCTCCCTCCACTGACGCTGCTCCGGTGGTGGCGAGGCTGCCGTTCCGCCCGCCCTTGGCTCGCTTCGCCCTGCTCCCGCCGGCACCATGAGCTCTGAGGAGGCGCGGCACCTGGTGAGTCCAGACGACCCCCGGGGCCGGGCTCCCAGGGTCTCCGCCTCGCCGTTCGCGGGGTCCCAACGTAACTTCCTCCCGCACGTCCGGTCGGTCGGCGGGGGGCCCCACCCTCCGAGTCCTGGGTCCTTGCGGGCTCCGTGGTCCCCTTGTAGGAGGAACGGGACCCTCTCACTCCCTCGGTCCGCGGGCATCGGCGGGTGGCCCGCATCCGGCGCGCGAGGTCCCCTGCCCTCCGCGCCGGGCGGCTCTCAACTTTTTGCAGGGCTTCCCGCCTTCGCCGAAAGTTAAATGGGAAACAGTGATTGTGGGTCCGTGTGTTTATAACGGTTTTGGGCGCCGACCCGATGGCTACGACGGTAGCGATCTTCTGCAGTCGTGGCCTTTCCCTGACTCGACACTCGGCGTCCGGCGCGCGAACCTCCTCCTGGTCCTCCGCTAAAATTCGATTCCTCCACCCGCTTTTGGGGGGCCCTTGGAACCCTCGTGCATTAAAACACGGATGACTGAGCTGTCCGGGGTTTTATACCTTTCAAACCAGTTACATTTTTTTATCTCATTTGAAGCCAGCAAGCTATCATTTGCCTTTTCCACACTTGCTCCCTTGTGAGTGTAGGTTGTTTTTCAGAGGCTACGTGATGTGGACCTCACCGTCCCTCACCGATGGAATGTATCTCTGTGCACACTTGTGTACATTTTTTATTTTAATTTCTAGTACTACAAATATCAATGGTTGTAATCCCTGCAAACAAAAGGGGGGGCTGAGACCAAAAAGTTTGAGACTGGTCTAAGCAGTGTCTAGAGTCAGAAGGTTCCATGGTAGGAACAGCTTAGACTGCAGCCTGAGAGGTTAGGTGATGAATCCAAGATACACAGCGTTTCTGTGACAGAGCCCCCCCCCAGCCCTGATTCCGCCAAGTCTCCTCCTCTATGATGTACTTAGAGAAGTCTCGGTTTTTCTATCTGAACTGCCTTGTTACTTGAAGTGGCTGTGTTTGTGTGTATGTGTGGGTGAGAAAAACGTATTTTATAAACTTTGGTGCGTAGTAATCTTCAGAATTAAACTAATCCAGAAGCAAGCGCTTCATTTAATTGGTGTTGGATTTCTTGTCAACTGCACTTATTTTGCAGTTCAATAGTAAGGCTACCTTTATGTATTTTCTAATTAAACTTTTCATTTTGAGACAGTTGTAGATTTACATGCCATAGAGGTTCCTGTACCCTTTATTCAGCTTTATTCAATAATAACATTTGCAAAACCATTGTACAAGATCACAACCAGGGCATTGATTGTTAACATAGAGAACTTTACACTCCAAAACGATCCCTTTTATACTCATACCCACTTCATTTCCACTCCACCTCTTAAATCTCCAACAATCACTCATTTGTTATTCCTTTCTATAATTTTGTCATTTCATGACTATTATTTAAAGAGTCACACAATATTTAACCTTTTGGGATTGGACTTTTTTCACTCAGCAAAATTCTTTAGAGATTCATCTAGGTTGTTGGATGTTTCATTAGTTCTTTTTAATTGCTGAGTAGTATTCTATCGTATGGATGTAGCACATTTGAAGGACATCTAGGTTGTTTCCATTGTTGGGCTATTAATGAATAAAGTTGCTATAAAATTGATGTACAGTAACATGTAATGTAAAATAATGAACAATACATAAGACTTCAGTTTTCTGGGATAATTTCCCAAGTGTACAGTTACAGGGTCCCCTAGTAGCTGTGTGTAAAGATTTATAAGAAATTGCTAAACTTTCCCAGCATTTTTGCACATTTTCCATTCTTACCAGCAATGTATGAGAGATCAGATTCTCCACATCCTCACCAGCATTTGGAGTTCCTATCTTTTATTTAGGCATCTGATAGGTATATAGTGATTTATTGTGGTTTTAATTTATGTTTCCATGATGGCTAATTATGTTAAACATCTTTTCATGGTTTATTTGCCATCTGCATATTCTCTTCGGTGAAAGTCTTTTGTCCATTTTCTAACTGGATTTTTTTAAATAGTTGGTTTTAGAGTTTTGTTTTGTTTTGTTTTTAGTATATTCTAAATACTAGTCCTTGATATGTGATTTGCAAATGTTTTCTCTTAGTCTGTAGTTTTTTTCTTCTTATTAAACAAACATTTTTAATTTTTATAAACCATTTTCATTTTTCTTCTTATGGATTGTACGGTTGTGGATTTTTTTTTTTTTTTTTTTTTTTTTTTTTTTTTTTTTTTTTTTTTACAGAGAGGACAGGAGAGGGAAAGAGAGTCAGAAACATCAAAGAGAGAGAAACATCAATCTGCCTCCTGTACACCCCTACTGGGGATGTGCCCACAACCAAGGTATATGCCCTTGACCGAAATCGAACCTGGGACTCTTGAGTCCGCAGGCCAATGCTCTATCCACAGAGCCAAATCGATTAGGGCATGGATTGTACTTTTATTAAGTCTAAGAATTATTTGCTTAACCCTAGATCCCAAAAGTATTTTGTTATTTTTTCTTCTAAAAGTTTTCCAGTCTATGTTTTGCATTTAAGCCCATGACCCATTTTGAATTAAATTTTATATAAGGTTTGAGTTTTAGATTGAGGATCATTGTTTTGCCATGCTCCATCACCATTTGTCAAAAAGGCTGTCTGTCTTCTATTGAATTGCTTTTGCACTTTTGTCAGAAATGAGTTGAGCATATTTGTGTGTATCTATTTCTGTTTTTTCTAATATTTAATCTTGATTCCTATAACTTAATACGTCTTGAAATAAAATAGACTGATTCTTCTCACTTAATTCTGTTTTTCAATTTTTGTTTTGGCTATTCTAGTTCTTTTGTCTTTAATTATAAATTTTAGATTAGTCTAAATAATTTTGCTGGCATTTTTATAGGAATGACGTTAAATCTGTGTATCATTATAGGGAGAATTTATATCTCTACTATGTTGAGTCTTCCAACTTATGAGCATAATATTTCTCCCCATTATTTCATATTCTTCAATTTCTTTCATCAGCATTATATACAAGCTTTGCATATGTTTTGTTACAATACTTCCCATTTTCCTAGTACATATGTTCCAAGATCCCTGTATATGCTGTTTTTTCCTCTACACCATTTCCACCTAAAAAAGGAAGCATTTTATGGCTTTTCCTTGGCATAGTCAAATTGCCAGCATCACTACTCTTTAGTTTTGGGGCTATTATTAAAATAAGGTTTACTGAACACAAGTACTGCAATAATGTTAATCTGATAACTGAAATGCTACTAAGTAACAGGTGGGAAGCTTATACAGTGTAGATACTATGGCTGGACATAGGGATGTCGATCTCTTGGAGATGGAGCAGGATGGTGTGAGATTTCATATTGTTACTCAAAACAGCATGCAATGTAAAACTTATTACTGAAATTGTCTATTTAATATTTTCAAACTGTGGTTGATCATGGAAACTGAAAGTATGGAGAGAATAGATAAGCGGGGGACTACTGTATATCTATTTGATTTTTTTTTAAAAGCAGTTGTAAACTGTCTATATACTCAAAATTAAAATAATATGAGATGCCTTTCAATTGTATTTAGCAATCATGAAGAAAATAGCTTTAAATTTTCCTTTAATGTATGTATACTTAAGGCCCAATGCACAAATTCGGGCATGGATGGGGTCCAGCTGGCCTGGCCCCAATTGGGGCAGATCAGAGCTGGGCCTGTTGGGAGGAAGAGATGGTGGAGGTTGGCTGGCCAGCCCACCCCAATCAGGGTGATCAGGGCCTGGCAGACTGAGGGGAAGAGCCTTAGATGAATTGCTGGTGGGCCCTGCCCCTGTTTGGGGGGGGTGAGTGGGGGTGGGACTGGCCATAGGGAAGTGCCATTGGTGGTTGGCTGGCGGGCCCTGCCCCTGATCAGGGTGGGGGGTCGATCTGGGGTGGGGCCAGGCCCTGCTCCTGTTGGAGTGGGAGAGTTTAGAAAAGAATTAAAATTTACAGTTTCCAGATAGAGAAAGCCAAAATACTGCATTGTAATTTGAGCAATTGGAGAAAATATTTTAATCTCATTTTGTATTTGCATATTTTGCTATATATTTTCTTTTCTTTTTTAAAAAAAACATATTTTATTGATTTTGTACAGAGAGGAAGGGAGAGAGATAGAGAGCCAGAAACATCAATGATAGAGAGTCATCGATCAGCCACAACCAAGGTACATGCCCTTGACCGGAATCAAACCCGGGTCCCTTCAGTCCCCAAGCCGACGCTCTATCCATTGAGCCAAATTGGTCTCGGCTATATTTTCTTTTTTATTACTGCTTATGAAATAATACATACATTGTCTTATCATGTTGTTATCCTCAGTCCAAGTTTTTGTTAGCTATTACTTTACCATCTATTGATTACTTTTAGTTAGAAAATTTTGTATATCTTTAAGAGTTAACTTTTTTTAATGAGGTATAATTTACATACATTGAAATTTATTCTTTTTTAGTATAAAATTTTATGAGGTTTGGTGAATTATACTATTGTGTAACTGTAACTGCAAACATGTTGAATAGTTCCATCACTCTGCTTCCCCCAAATTCTTTTGTGCTTCTTTGTAGTCTCTCTCTTAATCTCTGACAATCACTGATCAGTTTTGTGTTCCTGTCTTTACCAGAATTTCATATGTATAAATTATATTGAGTTTCATCAATGTGTTGTATGTTCCTTCTTATTGTTGACTAGTATTTCATTGTATAGTTGTGCCACAATTTATTTTGTTCATGCTTTCTCCATTGAAAAACATTTGGGCTGTTAGCAGTTTTTAAGAGTTATGAGTAAAGTTAACAGTATATATTCACATGTAGGTTTTCATGTGAATATAAGTTTGCATTTCACTTGGGTTGATATGTAGGAGTAGGATTACTGAGTGTGTGTTTAACTAACTTAAGAAACTGCCAAACTCTTGCAAACGTTTGTCCCATTTGCATTCCCACCAGTAACAAATGAGAGTTCCTGTTTTCTGCATCCTTGCCAATATTG